CATAAACCAGGATGGCCTTGACCTCAGAGATCCACCTCCTTCTGCCTCCTGAGTGCTTGGATTAAAGCTGTGCACCATCACGCTCGGCCACATTAAGTTTTTAAAATATGGTTAAAACCAAAATGTGCTAAGATCTTATTATTACACAAATTTTAAAGGTACTAATTCAATACTATAATACAAACACATTAAAGTGCCTTAAGTTGGGTTTCAAAATTCAGTTTCTCAAAATTTAGGGTGGGTATTTCTTAGAAAGTTAACAAAATGAAATTTCGAGCCAGCTACAAAGAATGGAAACATTCTCCAATCACAACATATTTCAAATTCCTGTAGCATAAGACTATGAGCTTATAAACAAAGTTGAAAAAGGCCAAAAAACTAATAATAACCAATGACAATATTTTAAAGGGATGGTAAATATCTTAAAGGTTACATAATTTTATTGGCTCTGCCTCTCAGTGTTGAGAACAGGTAAAAAGGAATGGCAATACCTGAACCACTGTCTCCCTGCTCTCCAGAGATAGAAGCAGTCTCACGAAATCCTGAGGAAGTGAGAGGAAAAGACCTTTGATTCATTTCTCTCTATACATACACATACAGGCACATACAACTTGTACTCTATATCTAAATGATTTACATATATCGATAAATATGACTTTCATTTTATATCTAGTTGATTTAAACATATAGGAACATATGATTTGCACACTATGTCTAAATGATTTACACATATAGGTGTGACTTGTACTCTATGTCTAATTAATTAAAATAATAAGGCATATTCACTAACAAACAAATAAATAATTCAATACTGGTTATAGCACTAGATTTATGTCAGAGAGAAAAATGACAAAAACAAAAGTATCTGGATGATTTCAATGCCTAGGCTTTCTTAAAAAAAAATAAACAAACAAAACCAAGAACCATGTTTTTTCCTCCTGTACAGAAATCAATTCAGAGGCGATCAAAGACCTTAAAAGACATGAAACTCTGAAACTGCTTAAGGGGCGGGGGGGACCTTGAAGACATACGTAAAGGCCTGTCTGAAAGGATTCTAGTAGGCCAGAAATTATAATAAGAACTGAATGACAGAGGAAGTTGACAAGATAGCCCAGAAGGTAAAGGCACTGGCCATGTAAGCCTGGTGACCTGAGTTTGAACCCTGGAATCTACATTTGCAGAAGAAATGACTCTACAAAGTTGTCACCTGGCTTCTAAGTACACACACACACACACACACACACACACACACACACACACACACATACTATTAACTAATCTTCTTTTGCAAAAGATTGGCAAGTGGAATTGTATAAAGCTAAAAAGTTTGTGCACAGCAAAGGCAACAATGAACAGTTTGAAGACAAGGTGAACAGAACAGCAGAATCGAACACGTTAATACATACAATATACAGAGTTCAAAACTTAAATAACAAAATATACAATGATTCAGTAAATAAATTAACAAAATTATAAATAAATTAATAATTTTCAAAAGATTAAGTACAAATGTCCAACAAAAAATGTATCAAAATATCTTTAATGACCATCAGTGAGATGAAATCAAAACTACACTGAGATTCCTAGGAGGAGCATGCAGCTGGCATGTGATTTCTTTCCTAACCTAAGTTTCTTAACCTGTACCAGTTCCTGAGAAAAGACCAAATGTTAAAAGCAACCTCACAATAACACAGAAGAAACTGTTTAGTCACCAAGCACTAAGGACTTAGGTACTTAGAATGCCATTCCTTCTTCAGTGATGCTGCAAAATTGGAAGGCCAGTTTTCAGGAATATGTTAGGAAGAACAACACTTACGGACCATTAAGACACAAGGAAGGTTTCCACTCCTGATCCTTTTACTGTATTTACTTTTCAAAGACCACAGCTTTCAAACTGATGACAATTTTAAAGGATAAGAATCATCTTCCACATCTGATTTATCTTTTACCGAATGATGGCTACTGTCACAAAAATATTACACATTATTCCATGCAGCTGTGTCAATGATCCTTTGAAGGGCACTATCCTTTGCTGTTTTATATATGGGCAAAGGCCTGGTGCACTGGTAGCCATAGAGGAAAAAGGAGAATGCAGAGGGGGAAAATATCCAGCTCTCAAACAGATTTGCAGAAATCTTAGAAGATTTCATGCAGCAATAAGACCACACAAGGCATCACTTTCTAAAGGAAACTAAAAGGCAAAAAGCTAGCAAGCAAATGAGGACAGGAAAAAGGAAAAATGGACATATGAAAGGAACTGATTTATTACTGCATGTTTGTTGTTCAGCAAACAAAATTAAATTACAAAAATGTATATCGTAGTAAATGTTAGAAAATTCAATATTTTGGGAATAAACATTACATAATATATACTAGCAGAGAAATAATGGTTCTCATTTTCTAATATAATAATCCTTTTTGTAATATAATAATCTAAACGTGACTTCCACTTCCTGTAACATAAATATTTTCTTTACACAAGTATTTGTATAATGAATAAAAGGCTCAGACATTTCTGCCTTTGTAGAGTTCCTGGATAACCACATGTGATATTTATTAATATCCAGCAATATCCAGTAAAGTCCATATTCCCATGACCAGATGCTCATGCTTATCTCCTGCTGCTTGCTACTGACAACCCTTACAGTCCTGCCTAGGGACATGCAGTTTTAGAATCTACATGGCTGTAAGAAGCATTATTTAAATATCTATGATTCCAAGAGAACGTTTTTAAAACAGCAAGTGGGCAAACAATGTTAATTTATAGGAATTTGATTTGTTGAACATTCCCATGCTAAAGTTCATCTACCATCTTTCATGTATGCACACATTCAATCAGTGTTAACTGAATATGCCCATGTCCCAGGGAAGATTGGCGAATACTTTCCTCCACCTAACATAAACCTCCTAACACCTAACGTTGCCAATTTCTAACTCCCCTACAGAGCAAACAAAACTGTAAAAAGAATTGTTTAAATGAAAAATGCTACTGAAGAAATTACTCGTAATTTAAACCCAGAGTGATAATCATAAAATATTTAATGATATGAGGACATATACAAGCAAATATAACTAAAAGTTAAAAAAAAAAAGAGTTGAAGAAACACTATTTGAAAAGTAATATTACATCTTTCTAAATTAGACTACATAGTCTATGTGCCAATATAAAAAAGAAACATCTCATGGTACAATTCTGAGCAGCAATATATAACAAAAATAACTTAGAAGCTACTCACTCACTAACATGTATGACGTAAGGAGCACCTTGGGCTGTTGGGTGAGGATATGATAAGGAGGCCTATGTTCTGCTCACCCATAAGTACCAAACCAGGCAGTACTTTGCCTACTCCTTAGGATACCCATTTCCTCTCTTAAGAGTTGAGTAATTGTTCACGATTTTCATTTTACCAAGCATGTCAAATGAGCAGTAATTAGAAATCTTAATTTCTGAACTAGTTTAAAATCTTAATTATAATGTTTGGATGAGCCCTCATTGTGTAGGTTAGAAACGAGAATTTTGAGGCTGGGCATGGTGATACACACCTTTAATACCAGCATGCCAGAAGCAGAGACAGGTAGATATTTGTGAATTCAAGGCCAGCCTAATCTATGCAGTGAGTTTCAGGTATATAAAAAGAGACACCATCTCAAAAATTAAAAAAAAAAAGGAAGAAAGAAATTCTGCATTCAAGTTACTGCCTTATACCAAACCAGAAAACGAATGCATCTAATGGAAGCATGACAAGGTAAAAATGTGGAAAAGAACTACAAAATCAAGGAAAAGAAGATTTTTTAACTATGAGAATGTTACTTATAAGCCTTTATTAATCAAATACAATGAGTATGGCTCTGGAAACATTATGGCATTAAATTTATTTTAAATATTCTAATTCTGGCATTTTTATAAATATTAGAGCCTCCTTTCCTTTCTTTCTTTTTTCTTTTGTGGTTTTTCAAGACATGGCTTTCCTACGTAGCCCTGGCTGTCCTGGACTCGCTTTGTAGACCAGGCTGGCCTCACAGCTATCCTCCTCCATTTGCCTCCCTGAGTACTGAGATTAAAGGCTTGCACCACCATGTCTGGCTAGCTATTTCCTATTTTATTAATTTTTATGTTAATTACATCTTATTCACTTTGTATCCCAGCTGTAGCTCCCTCCTTTATTCCCTCCCAATCCTACCCTCCCTCCCTCATCTCCTCCCATGCCTCTCTCTAAGTCCACGAATAGGGGAGGTCCACCTCCCCTTCCATCTGACCCTAGCCTATCAGGTCTCATCAGGACTGGCTGCAATGTCTTCCCCTGTGGCCTGATAAGGCTGCTCCCCACTCAGGGGGAGATGATCAAAGAGCCAGCTACTAAGTTCATGACAGAGACAGTCCCTGTTCTCCTTACTTGGCAACCCACTTGGATACTGAGCTACAGTGGGCTACATCTGCAGGGGTTCTAGGTTATATCCATGAATGGTCCTTCGTTAGAGTATCAGTCTCAGAAAAGACCCCTAAAGTGTAGGGAATCGTATGAAAGCTCTTTCCTATATTTTAAACAAGCAATTCAAGTTTAGTGATATATAATTTCAAATGTATTTTCCAGTATATTTTAACAAATATATATTAAAGGGTGACTGAGCTGTAAGGCCTTTGGATGCATTATTTTTTTTTTCTTTTGTTGTTATACTTTCCAATTGTAAAATTTTGATTTGTTCCTATATGTAGGTATGTCAGAGAATGTGTGTGTATGTGTATATATGTTCATACACAGAAATACTTCCGTTTCCTGCCAACACTCCTTTTCTGTTCACTTATTGATATATTTTCTCTTAATTCTCTGAACATATTCACAAATCCTCATTAGCATTTTTTACTTTTTAAATTCATTTCAGGGTTGGCCTCTATGTATTACTTCTTGTCTTGACTGTGGGTCATATATTTCTATACATATTCAAATGGTTAATTATGAGCTGGGTAGAGAGATGACACATTGTAGAGAGTCTGAGCAAATGTCTTCATCTGAAGGGTGATGGCTTTTATTTGGGAGAGCAGGCTAATTTTGGGTTCATCAATTTGAAAATCAAGGATTAGTTTTAATGTGTTTGGGGTAAATTTATGTAAAGCCCTCAGATGTCCAAGGCCAGTAACTTGGTAAGAATCCAGTTATAAACTTATTCTGCTATGAATCCTACATGAGCTTTGTGGCAGCCTTTTTGGAGTTAATGGCATCTGAGCAGTGGAATTCGGCCTCTTAGCTTTGGCTATTTTCCAAAGTCCAGTTTCGCATAAACTGACCTTGGTGGTCCTACAGCAGACTTCTCTGACCCTGAGAAACTCTGTGCAACCATAGTAACCAGACAGCAGGCTCTCTGTAACATTGAGTGAGCTCTCCTATGTTTTGACCAAGTAAAGCTCCAACGTGAGAAACTGCTTGTACTTTTTTGCCTACTTAAGTATTAACCCGACGTCCATTAAATCAACACCTGGATCAGCATGTAGACTTGGTATCCTTCTCTGTGTCACCCTGTCTCTCTCTCCCAGCCCTCTCTCAGGTGGTATTCAGGTATCACTGCTGGCCGGTGACAGAGCTTGGCCTTTGGGTTTTTATTTTATTTTATTTATTACACTTTATCCACTTTGTATCCCACCTTAAGCCCCTCTCTCCTCCCCTCCCGGTCCCACCCTCCTCTCCTCCTTCTTCACGCATGCCCCTCCCCAAGTCCACTGATAAGGGAGGTCCTCCTCTCCTTCCTTCTGATCTTAATCTATCAGATCACATCAGGAGTGGCTGCATTGTCATCTTCTGTGGCCTGGTAAGGCTGCTCCTCCCTCAGGGGGAGGTGATCAAAGAGCAGGCCAATCAGATTATGTCAGAGGCAGTCCCTCTTCCCATTACTATGTAACCCTCTTGGACACTAAACTGCCATGGGGTACATCTGTGCAGGGGTTCTAGGTTATTTCCATGCCTGGTTGGAGTATGAGTCTCTGGGAAGACCCCTGTGTTCAAATTTTCTGATTCTGTTCCTCTCCTTGTGGGGTTCCTGTCCTCTCCAGATCTTACTATTTCCCACTTCTTGCATAAGATTCCATGTATTCTGCCCAACCATTGGCCATAAGTCTCAGTGTCTGCTTTGATAGTCTGTAGGGCAGAGCCTTTCAGAGGCCCTTGGTGTTATAGAGCAAATATGGGATGCTAAACTGTTAATGTCCTGCTAAGGATGCACAAAAGTGGCCTGCCACCAGACATAGCTACCCTTTCAGAACCTCCTATCAGGGTTAACGTGGAGATGTTCTAGTCTCTTCTTAGTCTTAGAGAAGTGCCCCTTTCTGTCAAGTTTCTAGCAGATCTGTGGTGTACAAGTAGCTATGTCATCAACCCATATTCAACTCCCTCACAGAAGCAGCAACTCTACACTGAAACTCTTCTGTGACATTTTCTACAGATATCAGTTGTTTCAACAGCTCTGAAACCATGCTATTTTGCTTTTAGTTTCATCAAGAGTGCCTGCCATGTTCTACATAAAAAATTAACTAAAAAAAAAAAAAAAAAAAAAAAAAAAAAAAAAAAAAAAAAAAAAAAACAGTAGCCCTCCTGTATATGAAAGAAAAAAGGGCCGAGAAAGAAATTAGGAAAACAACACCCTTCACAATAGCCACTAATAACATAAAGTACCTTGGTGTGACTCTTAAAAAGCAAGTGAAAAATCTGTTAAAAAATAAATAAATAAACTTCAAGTCTCTGAAGAAAGAAATTGAAGAAGATCTCAGAAGATGGATCTCCATGCTCATGGATTGGTAGAATTAACATAGTAAAGTAAAAATGGCCATGCTGCCAAAGGCAATCTACAGATTCAATGCAATTCCCATCAAAATACCAACACAATTCTTTACAGACCTTGAAAAAACAGTTCTCAACTTCATATGGATAACGAAAAACCCAGAATTGCCAAAAGGATCCTGTACAACAACAGATCGTCTGGAGGTATCTCCATCCGTGATCTGAAGCTATACTACAGAGCAATAGTAATAAAAACTGCATGGCACTGGCACAGAAACAGAATGGTGGATCAAAGGAATTGAATAGAAGACCCCGAAAGAAACCCACACACCTATAGATATTTGATTTTTGGACAAAGAAGGCAAAAACATACAATGGAAAAGAGACAACATCTTCAACAAATAGTGCTGGTCTAACTGGATATCTACATGCAGAAAAATACAAATCCATATTTATCAGCCTTGCACAAAACTAAAGTCCAAGTTGATCAAAGACCTCAACATAAAACCAGACACACTACGGTTAGAAGAAAAAGTAGAGAAGAGCCTAGAATTCATTGGCACAGGGGACAACTTCCTGAACAAAACACCAACAGCACAGGCTCTAAGTTCAACAATCAATAAATGGGACCTCATGAAACTGAAAAGCTTCTGTAAAGCAAAGGACACTGTCATCAGAACAAAATGACAGCCTACAGACTGGGAAAGGATCTTCACCATCCCTATATCTGACAGAGGGCTAATATTCAGAATATATAAAGAACTAAAGAAGTTAAAAAGCAACAAATCGAGTAATCCAATTAAAAAATGGGAAACAGAGCTAAACAGAGAATTCTCTGTAGAGGAATAAAGAATGGCAGAGAATCACCTAAAGAGATGCTCAACATCTTTAGTCATCAGAGAAATGCAAATCAAAATGACCCTGAGATTTCACCTTACACCCATCAGGATGGCTAAGATCAAAAACTCAAGTGACAATACATACTGGAGAGGATGTATTGGAGAAAGGGGAACCCTCCTCCATTGCTGGTGGGAATGCAAACTTGTGCAACCACTTTGGAAATCAATCTGGTGCTTTCTCAGATAATTAGGCATAGTGCTTCCTCAAGATCCAGCTATACCACTCCTAGGCATGTATCCAAAATATGCTCAAGTATACAACAAGGACATTTGCTCAACCATATTTGTATGGTTTTATTTATGAATATGGCTTTATTCGTAATAGCCAGAATCTGGAAACAACCCAGATGTCCTTCCACTGAGCAATGGATACAGAAATTGTGGTACATTTACACAATGGAATACTACTCAGCAATTAAAAACAAGGAAATCATGAAATTTGCAGGCAAATGGTAGGATCCAGAAAAGATCATTCTGAGTGAGGTATCCCAGAAGCAGAAAGACTCACATGGTATATCTCACTTATAGGTGGATATTAGACCTATAAGATAGAATAAACATACTAAAATCTGTACGCCTAAAAAAGCTAAGCAAAAAGGAGGACCCGGGGTAAGACGATCAATCCTCACTCAGAAAGGCAAATGGCACAGACATTGGAAGAGGGAAAAAAGGGGAACAGGACAGGAGCCTACCACAGAGGGCCTCTGAAAGAACTCTACCCAGCAGGGTATCAAAACCTATGCTGAGATTCATAGCCAAACTTTGGGCAGAGTGCAGGGAATCTTATGAAAGATGGGGGAGATAGAAAGACCTGGAAGGGACAGGAGCTCCAAAAGGAGAGCAACAGAACCAAAATATCTGGGCCCAGGGGTCTTTTCTGAGACTGATACTCCAACCAAGGACCATGCATGGAGATATCCTAGGACCCCTGCTCAGATATAGCCCATGGCAGCTCAGTATCCAAGTGAGCTCCCTAGTAAGGGGAACAGAGACTGACATTGACATGAACTCAGTGGCTGGTTCTTTGATCACCATCCCCTGAGGAGTAACAGCTTTAACAGGCCACAGAGGAAGACAATGCTGTGAGTCCTGATGATACTTGATAAGCTAGTGTCAGATGGAAAGGGAGGAGGACCTCCCCTATCAATGGAATTGAAGAAGGGCATGAGAGTAGATGAGGGAGGGAGAGTGGGATTGGGAGGGAATGAAGAAGGGGGCTACAGCTGGGATACAAAGTGAATAAAATGTAATTAATATATAAAATTAAATTAAAAGTAAAAAAGAGTGCCACATTCTAGGTAACCATCTCCCAGGGCTTGGTTTAGAAGTTTTCTCAGACAAGATAACATGGTTGATTATGGAAGTAAATCTATATTTTTCTTTGTGTCATTTGTCTTCTGTGAGTTGTACTATATGTTTGCCAAAGCCTAAAATCTGTTACTTCATCTACCAGTTAGTTATGGTGTTATCTGTGGTACAAAAGCTAGTCTGCTATTAGGAAATTCCATCAGGCTCTGACCAGTAGTTGCTCTATACCATCTAAAACATATTCTTGTTTAAAGTAAGTCTCTATGGTGTTGCATCTAGATATATTATTGATCTATTTATTTACAAACTAGTTTGCACAACATTTATTCATTCTTAAATATACTTATAAAAATGTTCATGGATAAAGTTGAAATACTATCCGGTCAGTATTAATAAACTAAACATTCATCACATTATATTCTTACCTTTGATTTTAGGGATATGAATATGTGCTAACTCTATGTTCTTCAGCGATGCTTGAAGTCCAGAAATCTAAAAGCAAATAATGCAAACATACTAAATTATATAATAAATTAACTTTAAAATGTTAAGTAGAATACAATGTTTAAAAATTGATTGCATGTGTTACAGTTGTATAGCTTGGTCTTCATGTAGGACTCCTTACAGTGAGAGCAGGGGCTTTCTCTGGCTCTGTTGCCAACCTTTGGGACCCTTTCTGAAAGGTGCTGCCTAGTATAGTCTCAATAGGAGAGGAACGTACCTAGACTTAATGCAACTTGATATGCCAGGGATGACTGATACCCATGGGAGGACTGTCCTTTTCTGAAGATAAACAGAGCAGGAGTGCATATGGGAGTGAGGTGAATTGGGGAGGGGAGGCAGCAGGAAGGACAGGGAAGACACAGTGGATGAGAAGCTGTGATTAGCATGTAAAGTAAGTAAAATTTAATTAACAAAAAAAAGATTGTAAATGTCAAAAATATTAATCTCTCTTGAATCCATGCTTTTAAGTCATAAAACATCACACATGAACTTTAGCAGAAAGATAGCATTATTTTGGTTAAAATCCAATTCCACCGGCAACTATTAATCATACACCCTACAAAGCATTTGAAGTGTGTATCTCACAGCATAATTTCTTAAACCAAGAATGCTCTTTAGATACTGTGACAACTGTTCAGTTCTACTTTAAGAGAGGATTTTCCTCTGCCTGCTAAAACTTTTTCATAATTTATCTTTATATTTATAAGAAATGGCAATTTATTCTTACATGTATAAACAACAGTTAAGTATTATTCAAGAACCAAAATGTGAACAACTATTTTATACCAATAACAATTATTTATAACACAGATAATTTCTGTTTTAGTAACTATGTCTTATAATTAAGAACATTTATTGGCTGTGTAGTATACCTTTACCTACATTCCCTGAACTACAGAGTCAAATTTAAAGTTCAATCTTTAAAGCTGTCTCATCCTGTACTGTACATAATTACCCAAACATAAATAAAGTCCCTTCTATTTAATTATATACAAATGTACATATTTCTCAACTATCACTGGAAATCAATACATTTACCTCCAGAAAAAGAAAAGAAAAGAAAAAGCAGATAAACTGTAACCAATGGATTGATACTAGTGGAAAGCTAAGGGAAAATATATGACAGATCAGCATCCTCGGAAGGCAAATGGGTTATAAACTTCTCAGAACGTGGTAAGCACTATACAATAGTGGCTGATACAGTGCTGGGGATTACAGTGTGTCCCACACCTGGGCTCACAATTTCACAAGTGATGAGCCAATGTTAATACATTACCATGAAATATTAGGTTCTCATTTATGCCCCCAGAGTTCATGCAGAATACACCTTACATTTACTCACTATGTACCCTCATCCTCCTCTACACTGAGACAGCTCTGAAATGCTCCCTCATGCTAAAGCCCTTGAGTACTTGGGAAGTACTGGTTAGGAAGTACCAATTAGCAAGTACCTGACAGGATGGCCTTGAATGTGGAATGACTTTGTTTCCCCATGGTTAAATTAGAATTAGGGATTTTCAGGGGGCACTAACAGAAAAGAATTATGCCATTGTTTCTCTTTATTATGTGTCTTACTCGTAACTCACAGGTACTTGCCATCAACAACACTTAAGCTAATGATGTTAGTCTTAGTACCTGGCAGAGCTGGTCTGCCAGATTTCTTCACCATGGTGATATAGGGCATTCTTTCCCCAAATCTATTATGGCTTTGGAAAAGTCCTGTAAGTATACCCAACACTTAACTATTAAATTGTTGTGTTCCACTTCCCTGAAAGACTATAGTCTACTTCTGCCATTTGGGATTTTTTGATACTTGAAATTTGCCTATTGCATGCAGGCACATGCACATGCCCACATACACACGCGTTATTCACTGAATTCTTTTTATAATTTAAGACCACAGACATTTATTTTATACTTCAAATTATACCAACCCCATATTATTTATCATGTTGATCCAACTGTTACAGGTACGGCACTGGAAATTCTTTCTGTATAGAGCCTGTCTTAGGTTTCTGTTCATGTGGTAAATATCATGATCAAAACCACCTAGAGAGTAAAATACTTATCTTATCTTGCTGCTTATCATCTATCACAGAGGGAACTCAGGTCAAGAACTCAAAACACTAACCTAAAACAAGGAACCTAAGAAGAGGCTATGGAAGAATTCTGCTTACTGGCTTACTCTTTGTGTCTTGCTAAGCTTCCTTTCTTGCCAAAAGTGGCAACAACATACATTGAATTGGGACCCTCCCATATCAATCATGAATCAAGAAATGACCCAAAGATTTGCCTATAGATCAGTTTTGTGAAGATGTTTTCTCGGATGTGTGTGGGGGGGGATCTCCTCTTCTTAGAAGACTCCTCCTAGCTTATGTTGAGGTGACAGAAACTAACTAGTACAGAGTCTTAGACTGAGAAATGTGACTCAGTTTTTGAATACTTGGCTACCGAGAGCTTTTAAGCCTTATGGCTCGTGATGAATGCATCTGAACTCAAATGGCAGCTCCACACTGAAGTTTGGCTGCCTAGGGAACACACAGCTTCTCTTGGGTAGGCTGAACTCTGAACTCTGTGCCTACAGCTTCTCAGTAGTCCTGTAATTCCTAACATCTCAACAATCTCAACCAAAACTTGTTAAGGAAAGGACTGTAGGTTCTTTTTTAACAGTGATTGCATCTACCTATAGTTATTAAGGAGAAATTTTCTTTGTTAAGCACCTTAGTCCATTACTTTTTAGTTCAGCCTCTGCTCCGTTTACAGGACACAAGGAGAACTCAGGCAGATTCTTTCCCCATATGTAACATTACTCGCTTATAATTCAGTTTCTACAGACGCCTTGTTTTCTAAAGTATCAGGAGCTGGGGCCTCTATCATTTGTAATTTTTTTTAGCATGCTTATCGTCTTAACAATTACTGGAATGGTGTATTAAGCTCTACTTTTGGCATTCTAGCAATTTTCTGCCCCAAAGTTCTAAACTCTTCCACGTTATTCCCAGAAATCAGTCCCACAGCCTGCTAGGAACCACATGGGTAGGTTTATGGTGGCAGTGGCCCCAGTCTTCAGTACCAATTATCTGAATTGGTGTTTTTCTTGTTGCTTTGACAGCTACATGACAAAGCAACTTCAGAATGGGAAATGAAAGTTTCATTTCACAGTTTGATGGTACAGTTCGTCATGGTAGAAAGACATGATGGCAGGAGAGGGAAAACAGCTATGTCAGGGACAAATTCAACTTGCTATCTCCCTTTTATCCAGTCCTGGATTCCCAGCAATGGCATTATTATCCTATTTTGAGTTGCACTTTTCTAGAAGTACCTTTACAGACTTGTCCAGAGGTATGTTTCCATGGCAACCATAAATACTGTCAAGTGGAAAAGGACTATTAACCATCATACATACATACTTTTGCATTTTTATGAATTTGGAATCTTTCAAATATTTTCCATGAATATGAAAAACTAACAATTAGACTTGTAAAGTTTTAAGTTTTAAATAAACTTAAAAGAATCAGTTTAATATTTATTATGTAGCAAAGAAATTTAAAAGTGTATGCTTACTATATTTTTATCTAGTAAATATATATACATTAACTCTTCCAGATATAAATTGAATAACATCAATTTTCTAAGTTCTGAGAGTTACATTTATCCACATGGATGTGAAAAATCTCAAAGTCCATACCCACATTTATCCACATGGATGTGAAAAATCTCAAAGTCCATACCCAAAGATGAAGATCTAGATGAGTAATTTCACAGCTCCTGAGAAAGGGGAAATCACTTGTTTCCAGAGAAGAACCTCTTGATAAGTTTTTCCAGTCCTAAGTGGTCAGCCCTAAATATGTATACATAGGAGTAGCACTAAATGGACTCAATAGGTTGCCTTTAAATATGAAATTATTTTGGGTGTGCATGCAACAATCACAATTAAAGATAAAGTTTAAAGCTGAGAGAGAGTTGGGGAACATGAAAGAGTTTGGAATAGGGAACTAATACTACAGTACTCGTGTATGAAATTCTCAAGGAATTTTAATTTGAAAAATTCTAAATTCTGACACTTCATAGTGCAACTACTATATATCTTTGAAAAAGACATAGTACTCATGGATAAGGATTTAAAGACACGATTATCAGGATTCCCATAGTAAACAGGAGATTCTTTTTTAGTTAAAAGTGAATTCTCTAACCCCGGCCCAGATGTAGCCCATAGACTCAGTCTCCAAGTGGGTTCCCTAGTTAAGAGGAGCAGGGGCTGTCTCTGGCATGAGCTCAGTGGCAGGCTCTCTGATTACCTCCCTCTGAGTGGTGCAGCCTTACCAGGCCACAGAGGAAGACAATGTACCCAGTTCTGATGAGACTTGATAGGCTAGGGTGAGATGGAAGGGGAGGAGGTCATCTCCTATCATTGGACTTGGAGAGGGAGAGAGAGTGGATTGGGAGGAGATGAAGGAGGGAGCCACAGAGGAACACAAGTTGAATAAATTGTAATAAATGATAATAATAATAAAAAAGAAAAAGGTGAATTCTCAGAGTATATCAAATAATAACTAACCTTATGATTAAAAATAAACATGAAAGTGATCCACCCTCTGTGATAAGTCAGAGGTAAATTTTACATAAACTTAGAAATATTTTTCTTGTACAAATATTTTGAAGAAGTTAATTCTGTAGCTTCATGATGCACTAATAGGTTTGGGTCAGAAGATTAATCACTGATCACACACTCAGGCTATACCTGATGTATCACCTCTAACAGAAAAAGGTTTGTTGACAATAGGCTGGTCTCTGTGTTAAACTAGCCAAATAAGGTCGGTCTCTGAAGGCATAGCTTGCTTTCCAGGAGAATGGTTATGACTAAAACTATAGTTTCTTCCCTAATTTGGGGACTAGGATAATTAGCTCCAAGACCAGAACAGTATGATATCTGACAGTCATTTTGCCACGTAATATTTGGGTTCAATGAATTAGAAATTATTTCTTAATATAGACAATAGATAATTGTACAACCTTTCTTGACGATATGGTAGATACATTATTGTATAATCTTATTCACTTGGCCCATTTGGGGTTTGAATAAAATACTCAGTGTGAGCAATCAGGTATTAGCACAGAACTTATCCTAAGAACATTAGATTTTTACACCCAATTTGCATTGATATCTGTAAAACAATTCTAAAATGCCATCCGATACCCGGTATCAACTTTGTTCTTAGTGCATCTATTAAATATGACTTTCTCAAACTGTAATGAGTCTACAATTTTGAACAGAAGATGTAGCTAAGAGAGGAAAGCTGTTTCTAAATCCTCACTGCTTCCATTTTCAATACCAAGAAATAAACTCTTCCATCAACAATTATTTTACAAATCTGGATTCTTTTTTAAGATTGTGAGAAAACATTAGAAATTGTTCTGTGACGATTACTAAGACAAATCGGGACACGGAATGGCTTTCAGTGTGGAACAGTACGGAAACATGGCCCCTACGACACAACAAAGTAGTACAAGAAGGAAAAACCCAAGAAAGGCAAAATCAGAGGTTACTGTGAGAACATGAGAAAGAAGGCTTAACCTGAAGCAAAGGACAAACACGTCAGGTAGTCTGAAGCTGCTCCAAATAAAACACATACACTCCTACTCCCTCAGGGAATCTCCTTGGATACTAACACGTGTTGGCCTATTTGGCAAGTGAGTCATCCTTATTTACTATGAGAAAAAAAAAATAGAAGAAAATACAAAAGACTTGAATATTTGCAGGATTAATTTACAGACTATCCAGATTCACACCATCAATCCCAATTAATATCTTTTTCTAATAAAGTAGTAATTAAGTCTGGAGCCCAAAGACTCTGTGTGTGACCTAAATGTCCTCAACATGGCCTTTGACCTACTTAAGGAACCACCATCATGTTGAGACAAGGGATATAAGAATGTTTCTGGGTATATGACTTGGCCCTAGTCACACAGCAGATGAGGAAGAGCCAGTTCTGCTCGGCTGCAGAAGTAGAAATAAAGTGTGCAGGGGGAGAGTAAGCAAGTTCCAAGCATTAGTCTTCACGTTCCAACTTCCTGGATATAGAATCACAACAGAAGCACACTTCTAAGAAGGTCTGCGATGTCATTTAAAAGAAGCACCAAGGAGGAAAGATTCACGTTGAATGCGCACAGGCAACACCACTCCAGGGGTTAGGGTTCTGGACTGAATAAAAGTGAACTGAGAATGAGCGGTCTTCTTTCTCGGCTTCCTGCCTGTGGATCCACGTTAACAGCTGTTTCACATCGTGCTCCATAATGTCCCTGACACGGTGGACTGCATCCTCACACAGAACTAAATAAACCCTTTCTTCCTTGATTTCCTTTTCTTGAGTATTTTGTCAAAGCAATGAAAAAAGTAACTAACACTTACTACTGTTTATGGAAAAGAATCAAGGGGATGAAGGTTTTAGAGTTGACATACATGTCAATTTGAACACACATTTTATTTAATATTACTTATAATTCAAACATCCCATGAGAGCCTGCACTGGTAAGCCCAGTTTGTGGGATACAGTAAACTCAGAGCCACTACCCCAAGTCAATCCCTGATGACTGTGGTGTGCAACATTTGAGGTCCTTGGAGCATGCACAACTAAACCAGCTGTCATTCTCAAAATCTATGTATCACCTTAGTAACTTACCTGAAGCTGATATGCATAGCTTTCAAAGCTCAGACTTTAACCCATGTCTTTGTTTGTCATTGTTATTACTACAAAGGCTGAGAATTTTCTTCTAACTTACTTTAATAGTCTATTATTTCATGTTTCAGCTACATGTTAACTAATTAAATAATAGTTATTATGTTTTATTTTATTTTATTAAATTATTATGTTTTAAATAGAAGAGATACTTTTCATATTTACGAATAAATTTTATATACAAATTGCTGGACAATGTTTTAAAACTTAACATCAATAAACAAACCATTGTTCTACTGATAAAAATGAATAATTAAGGGTTAAGGTAGCCACAGCTTAATTGGTAAATTGCTTACCCCAAAAGCTTGAGTTGACCCCATATAAAAAGCCCAACATGGTGACACATACTTGTGATCCCAGCAAGGGGACAGAGAGACAAGAACATGCCTGGGACCCACTGATGAGGCAATATTGCATGATTGGTGAGCTCCAATCCAATAAGAAACCCTGTCTCGAAGGAGGTGGAAACCTGTCTGAAAATGACTCATGATGTCCTCTGGCCTCCATATGAATACATATGCTTGCCTTTTTTTGCACACACATTCATACACATAAACACACACACACAATAAACACAATTGTTTCAGTGTAGCTTTGACTGCTTCTTTCCATACCTTCCCAACAGCTCGGTCTCTTTCCAAAGAGGTCAGCATTTTCTCCTTCAGCAAAACATGGTGCTTCTCATGTAGCACCCTTATAGTTGGTTCGTACGATGCATAATGCAGTTTCAGCCTATAAAAGTAAAAGGCCAGTTGCATCATCAGAAAGGGTAAAATAGTTACATCAGTGATTTTCATCTAACACCTAACCTTTTTTTTTGTCTTTCATCCTATCTTTGTGTGCTTATGAATAAAAATTAGTAGCCATATAAAGGTCAGCATGCCAGAGCCAAGAAGCACAGAAGTGATGTTTCCTGCGGAATTTCAGTCTACCTAGAGTGAGGGATGAATACAGGATGGAAAACCATATTTCCTTACCTGATTTCCTATTTCTCAGCAATACTTGTTGCTGTATTCAAGCATGTACTCAGAAGACTGCTGCAGTTCTTTTTTGAAAACATGTTTGATTGATTTCATATTAAGAAAGTTAATTACAAAACATATTATTAAATTTATGTGTCTATGTGTCTGTATGCAGGTGCCCAAAGAGGACTAAAGAAGGTGTCATTTGGCCTGAAGCAGGAGCTACACATGCTTATGAACTGCCTGACAAGGGTTCTGAAAATGGCACTCAGGTCCTTTGAACATGCTCTTACATATAGATCATTTCTCTAATGCTTACACTAGTTCAGTGTCTTGTAGAAGATAATTCTACTTCATATAAGTAACTTCACTGAGTGAGGATTAAGTATGGTCCCTAGAGTCCTCCTTGTTGTTTAGCTTCTTTAGGACTATAGATTTGAATATGTTTATCCTATATTATATGGCTAATATCCACTTATAAGCGAGTATATACCAAGTGTGTCTTTACACTTCTGGGCTACCTAGTAGTGAACTAGAGGAGGGCATAGGAAAGGGAAGAGGAAGGAAGGGTGGGACTGGGAAGAGATGAGGAAGGGGCTACAGCTAGGGTAAAAGGTAAATAAATTGTAATAAAGAATAATAATCTAAAATATAAAAAGAAGTGATTTTATAAAAATTAATTTTTTTAATTACCTTCACATTTTTGTTTGATTGGAAAATTCCTTCAAGCTATGCTTTAATTTTTACTGAAGAATGTTTTATATGAAGCAAAACATATAGCTCCTAAGTGCTAGAGCTAGCAGTTTAGATTAATATGTGTATCCATTAAAGTCATATTTATTTATCAAAATACAGTAACATTCATAGCATCCCAGAAAACCCTGGAATCATAAATTTGGTGTCATATATTATCATTGGAAGCTCTTTTCTTTCACTCAGAAAAATGTTTTTCAGGTTATTCTGTATCACATATTGCTAGCTGTATTCCATTCCATATTGAGCAGTATTCTCTTACATATATACTCATTCTTTGTATTAAAATAGGATAAGTCTACATTGCAATGGTAAGTCTACATTGCAAAGGAAGCCTCAGGTGGCTGGCGATGTCAAAACTACAGGCTATTTTCTGAGGAAAACGACAGGTACAGAATGAAGCCCAGAGCCAGGGAGAAGCTACATGTGCTGAAGGCGGCACATGAAGGCTGAAGGGTGGGGCTACTCAAGATCCTTGTCATACAGAAAATTCCATCACAAGCTCCAGACACTGGATACATGCAGGAAGGAGCTGTCATTTGCCCTATTTGGTTTCAGTTTACTTTGGTTTGATAACGCTTTGTTAAACCACCATTCCTCCCTTTGGAAATGGAACTACTTACTGAGTTCCAAACCAATTGGGACTTTTGAACAGTGCTGGAGATACTAATTACTGTAGAAATGCTACAAGTTCAAAAATTTTTATTCATTGCTATGGGATGGGAGCCCATGAGGCACAAGGGCAGAATCTCAGAGTCTAAGTGTAAAACGTTACTTATAGCTTAATGAATTCCCATACTTGGTCTCCAGATGTTGATGTCATTAGGGAAGGAAGGGCAATCTTCTGGAGGTTGATTTTCAACAGGAACAGTTCTCACTGGTGCAGGCCTAGAGATTTTTTTTTTTTAGATTGAACCCACATGTCATTCACTCTCTACTTTCTGATTGCATGTGGAGATGATGAGCCAGCATCCCACCCCAGCTTCCATGCCAACACTGCCATGATGGCACGTATCCCTCAATCTATAAACCAGAATCAGCCTTACAGTCCCTGAATTCCTTCCGGTCTGGTGTGATGTAATAACACTGATAAAAGTAACTAGTCCAGTGAGCCCTTTCTAATTGCACATTTAACAGATATGATATATACATATATATTTAAATATAAACGCCTAGTGTTTATGTTGGGTATCATGTATTTGTAATATCCTTATCAACACAGAATGTTTTATATTAACACAAACAAAACATCATTTTATTTAAGGGATGTAAAATGGATTTCTTGCTTTACAGTAAAAGAACTGAAGGAAGCTAATGAAGGAGGAAACATGAAGTCTGAATAATGCCTCCGAAATAGCTTCTAAAATTGCTCTCATAAATTGAAGCTAATTTAGGGTATGCCTTCTATCCCAACAAAGGTCTGCCTGCTCTTTGTCCTCCATGGTTTGTAACACTCTATGCTCCTTTCTCACTTGGTGCTGCTCCTCACAGTACCCAGCCTCGCAATGGCAGCCTGAGGACATTACCAGCTCACCCACTCTTGAGAATTCAGCTCACTGAAAACACACCCGAGGCCCTTCTCTTACACCAGATTTACTGAAACTGTCTTGACTGACAAGGAAACAGCATGGTGCATTTTCTTATATTTTCGCTTAACGTTTCTACCACACGCTCCAACAGTGTGAATATTCCTTCAATTTGAGGGCTCCCACTTGCTATCCAATAGATGTAAAAGGACACCTTTATTTCAACAGTCCTGCTGCGGGCGGATCCCAGTAACCGAAGCACCCCTTGAGCACACAGGAGCATCTCACCCTTTCAGATCGGCAATGAGCTTGTTCTTCTCCTGCACAGTGCGCTTGTGGTGCATGCGGTGGAAATCCCGCTCCTTCTGCGTCCTCAGCAGCTCTTCCCTGGCCTTTCTGAAAAAGACCAAGAGCACCAGCTTTCAAGACCGCTGCCGCTTTCTTCTGGAAAAAGCGTACTTTGTGTTCAGTTAGAACAGTGAGTGACCAATGATGACTGAGGGGACACCTAAAGTGCGGCACTGCCAGGCGCTAAGCGTTACTCCTGCTACATTGTTGAGTTACAAAAGAGCAAAGCCTGTACTTCCAAAAATGTGAGTTGTTCATACCTAATATTTTTAGAACAAGTTAGATTCAAATCAACTTGCTTACAAGATATGTGTACGGTGTAACACATTTCTTGCCAAAGAGAACTTTGGCTTACAAATTTAAAATACATATAAAAGAGAGTGGGTCACAAGAACAGGAAATAAAGGAAGGGAGCTTACTCGTCAGTTTTGGGGACAGATAATATATCGGAGCATTTAGTTTTCATAGATTGGAAAGGACAGAAATTCCAGAAAACCAAAATTTTGTTCTTTTAAGATGAGAAATATGTACCAAGAGATGATCAAATTATTATATATATACATATATATGTAATATATATGCTATCTTTGTGAGAAACTGATCACATATATGCAATTCCCAATAAATAAGAAGTTAACTATTAGCAATGTGAGGATACTAGTGATTCAATCAGTACAGAAATATTCTTACACTGGATAGGTGCACAAACCTTAAAATAGAGCAAGAAAGCAAATTCTGTTAAACTGGAGTTCTAAGTTAAGTGCTCATGAGAGTGTTTCACTTAACCTCAGTCATATGCCAGCCTCAGTAAAGGATGGTTTATAGTAGACAACAACAACAAAATCTCTCTATCCATATTGGATAACTAACAACATGCTTCCTTGAGCTTTTCATACTCTGAGAAATGAACTGGCCTGCAGGGTGGATATGCTACATCAGGATCAGAAACATGCTTTTATGTGTCACAAATATTGCAAAATTGAAATCCACATAGATGCACAGAGATAAGCCTCAGCGCTAAGCTGTGTCAGAGGATTCTGTGAGGAAGTGTCTGGGCACTGCCAGGGAAGTTTGTGGGATAAGGTTAGGTCTCCAGGGTTCCCGTGGACCATATGTTGATCAGTGGGAATTCTGGCCATAAAATCAAATTCTAGGTACTGTGTGGCCACAGAGACATTGATACAAATTCTAAGTCTTCTCTTCTCCATAATCTTTCAAATCTATTTTAGATTTTCTTTATTGATCTTTACTAAGAAATTTTGAGGTCGCATCACACATAAGTAAGCAAAGTCCCATAAACACACTAACAATGATCACTTCCATCCAAACCTCAGCTTCATATTCATGCCAACTCTTTGGTATGAGCAACAAATTATGATTCACTTGTTCAGATCTAAATCTCATCTGATGAACAAGGCAATAATTAAGTATTGTTTCTTACAGCTTTTATGTGTGCACACATATGCGTGATGTGGGCTACAGAAGACATAACAAAACCCAGTGATGCACCGCGTGTATTACTGTTGCTTTCTTCATTGAAAAAATGGGGCGTTTTAAAGAAGGGGGATTGCTTTTGTCTCACAGTTAGAGGTCACAGTCACCACAGCAGGGGAGTAGTAGCATCAGGAGTGAGGGCTGCTGGTAGTGTCGCAGTCACAGCCAGGAGGCACGGTCAAGTGAGGGGCTGGTGCTCTGCTTGCTTTCCCCTTCCCTTCAGGACGTGAAAGTCCATGAGCTAGGGAAGCTTGCCAGGGACCACCACGTGGGCATGGACACTTTTTTTTTTTTAAAGATTTATTTATGTGTATTATGTACACGGCCAGAAGAGGGCACCAGATCTCATTATAGACGGTTGAGAGCCACCATGCGGTTGCTGGAAATTGCACTCAGGACCTTTGGAAGAGCAGCCAGTGCTCTTGACCTCTGAACCATCTCTCCAGTCCCACATGAACACTCTTAAAGACAAAAAGAAAGGTTTTTTTTTTTTTTAGTGGGTGATTGCACAGGGAATTTGCCCAAATCATGCATCCCAGAGTTTTACAACCCTTTTCTTGGCAATTTAGGCACAAAAACCACATCCCAGTTGTCAAATCTCAGTTAACAAGAAACAGAACTACAGAAGCCAAAAAGCTAGGTTAGCACATTTAAGGACTTTTTACTTGAGGACTGTCTATGGGTCTTTGTTCCCATTTTTGCAAGTGTTGGCCTATGTGCTGGGTTTTAAGGTCACAATGGTACCTCTAAAATGACATCAGTTGTGTTAAGGTCTAGGGACCTGTTATAGTAGCTACCCACATTCAAGGAGAATCTCTTCTCTTTGATTAACCTTCCTAAAAGTCCTTCATAAAGTGGGTTTACACAGTGAATTGAAATTAACTTCAATTCAGCTGCAAATGAGGATGAGCCATCATACCATGAATTTGAAAAATAGCATTTTCCTATAAGGCTAGGTTATAACTACTTCCCATTTTCTTTCAGTTTATCTAAAACTTTAGGACTATCACATTTTAATTATAATTGTGTTACAACACATACAAAAAGTCAAGATATTAACTTGTGGAGACAAAATTGTGTTAACTACTAACACGGTGGCTGCTGAACATTCATGGTATGCAAAGATTTTAACGTCAAGCATCTCAAGGATTGAGCTTGCCATACATTTACACAATTCACTAAAATAACTGAAAACTTCATAAAATCTATCTTTTTGTTATTTTACTATCAACCTATCTGTAATTTACTGTCTTTTCACATTTTTTGTTTTCACAGCCACAACTGACTCAGTGGAAAATAATTAAAGTTCACTGATTATGAAGTTACCAACTAACAATCCCACAACTACGGGTTCAAGAGTATCTTCTGTGCATTTCAGGAAACATTGCTTAAGTTTTGTCTGATACAGAGACTCTCTTCCATATGTATATGTGTGTGTGTGTGTGTGTGTGTGTGTACGTGTGTACAGGTATCTGTTGGTGAGGGCATATGCTTTCAGGCACCTATAGAGGTCAAAGGAGACTACTGGATACAGTGGAACTAGAGTTCCAGGCAGTTGTGAACTGTCAAAATGGATGCTAGGAATCTACTGCTTGTCATTCAGAAAAACAACAGAAACTACAGAAACTTCTCTCCTGCCCCTAAGTTTATAGAATTTTAATCAATGATTTTAATACACTGTAGGCATGTTCTATTCACCTACTTTTGGAACTCTAAGAGTTACACAAAATTTAGATTCAATAGATTTTTATTTGATTGATTTGATTTATTTATTTTTTTATTTGATTGAAACTATATTGCTTCTAGCTATGATCTCACTATTGCAATTTTTAATTAAAGCTAATTTTCATTCAGACATGGAGCCTTATTTTTCAACATTTCCCACGTGTTTTATGTAGTTTTTGTTAACAGAAAACAGCAGAGTCAGAATAGCTTTCCAATAGACCACAAGGACATAAATTAAAAACAAAATACATATATTTCAAATTCATTGATTTGAGACACACTAAGCATGTACTGTTTGTTGTCAAATCACCTTTAGTTTTTAGTGAAAGTTTAGAAATCTGACCATGTTTATCCATCGTTCTAAAGTCTCTTGAATTGTTGTTTTGTTTTGACAGCTCCACAAAGCCTCAGAATCACAGTTTTAACAACTTGTTAACACTTGCTAATTAAACATTATAAACTATTAAGCTGAAACCTCAAATGATTCCTGGTTCTGATCAAGATGCACAAATTTTCTAAGAACACTGCTTTTTTTTTTTCTGAGAACAACAGAACAAAAGTAGATAAATTAAAAATTAATTTTGTTCTAGAACCTACCAGACAGCTGAAGTGTAAGAGTCATGTAACATGAAAACAACCTACGAGCGAAGCGCAACACACAGGACAGGGAATGGAAACTGGACTGCAGCTGTACAGAAGACGACAAATTAAGTAATATTCAAAAACACTAAGTAAGGTCAAGTGAGAGTCAGCATGGCAGTGTGAAAATGCTGGGCAGACTGATTCCATTTGAAGCTCTTTCCCATACTCCATACTCCCTCCACTCGGGTTTCAGTAGAAAGATGGGGGCACACTCAGGGGACTAGAGAAGCTACTTAATTGAACCTCGAAATTTTGGCGAGGGGAGAATTTCAGATGTGTGGTGAAGTGTTGTGACGTTGGTTAACTCATTAATACTTTGGTGGTTATGTAGAGTTTGGATGCTGCAAATCTTTAGCCAGATTTTCCTGGACAATCTTTAGAGACCTAATGGCCACTCGCTGTTTGACCTAACATCAACCTTTGTTACTATTAGGTAAATCCCTCCAGAATGGGTAACAAATCATTACCTGGTACTAATACCAAAGCTCAGAATGTAATCAGATACATCTAAAATTAAGCATAAAACACCACTTTGCTGTACCTCTACCTGATGTTTCAAGAATGTGTTCTACTAGTGCCATGATTTGTAATTTTTTTTCTTCTATAAAAACTTCATGAAGTAATTACATTAGACCATGATATTTGGGACACCTTGAATCTGTATTCTCAGCCCATCATCACTCATATTTCACTTCAAAAAATTTATCACTTGTTCCCTTTGAGATGCGATCTGTGTTTTTGTGTCCACACTTCCTAATGGTAACCAGTGGAAGCAGAGCAAAGATGAAAAGGCCACCAACTTTAATAAGGCCCAGAGGGAAGGGCAACACACATGGCAGCAGCTAAGGCACGCTGCGGGTGAAAAAGAAAAAGAAGAAAAACAACTCACTCAGGCGAGGAGCAGATAAATCTCTTGGATCTAGAATTACATCTTACCAAGTACAGTCTCTTACTCCTGCCTTAGTGGACACTCCGCCAAGACCAACCACAGACACAGGGGAAGGCTTGATGACAGTGTGAGTAAGAGGCGGCTGGAAAGATAAGATTCCTAACACCAGAGCTCAGGGACACAGAATGCTTCCTTGGGGGTGAGAATGAAGCAGCTGGGAAGGAACCTATCTGCTATCCTGTTACCCCACCCTGTGAACACAGTGGGTGGAAAAACAGAAAAGTAAAGGAAAGCACAA